CTCTCTTTCTCTCTCTCTCTCTCTCTCTCTATCTATCTATCTATCTATCTATCTCTCTATCTATCTGTCTGCATATGTATGTGTAGGAGGAGGAGGTTGTGTACCTGTGTTACGAGAAAGTAATTAGTATATTAATATTTAGGTTTAACGCTCTAATAACTCTTTAAGGTATACATCCAACCAACAGCAGACGAAAGCAAGGTTTCGGCACATTTCGAATCACCATACACTATTCCGAAACATAATTTGAGGCATACCTTTTAAAGCTCCAGAGGGGGGTCTCGTGGTCTAGAGGTTATGGTTTTTTGTCTCTCATTCAATAAGTCCCGGGTTCGAATTCTGACAGCGACGGAATCTTTTCTCTACTAAAATAAACATGTTCTCCTCTCACCTCCTTTCCTGCTCTCTAATCATGGTCTGTCGTCTGCTTTCATCTTCACTTTCTGCCCCCCCCTTTTACCCCCTCCTATGGACTCTGACTGTTTCTGCTGCCTTTCTACTGTTACTCCCTTGTTCCCTCATACCGCTGTCTTTCAGCCATATCCCTATCATAGCGTAGGTATGATTGAACACCTAGTCTATTCGGATAAGGGAAAAAAATCTCGGAGGTTCCGTATGCAACTTTCACACGCTAAGGATCCCTTGGTGGTACAAAAGTGGATAAGAGTAGGCTTTGGTTGCCACCTGGGCAAAATTCAGAATTGATTACTACTAAACTGAAAATGCTAAGTGTATCCCGCGCGCATAATATATGACCTATTACAGTTGTGAGCGCAGGACTTCCGCATTTAATGTCAGTCTTTGATAGGACGGAGCCACGAATGGGTATAGAGCCTTGAAAATTCCACAAAAGGAACAACGTTCAAGAACACCAAGGGGGCTCTCTTGGATGAGAGGACCGGGTGTTCGCCTCTCATTCAAAGGTCCAGGATTCGAATCCGGGTAGCGACGGAAAATGTTTCTTCTATAAAATTGTCTCATTTCACCTACTTTCCTGCTCTCTAGCAATGTTCTGTCGTCTGCTTTCATCTCCACTTTCTGCCCCCACCCTCTCACCTTCTTTGCCCCTCCTCTGGGTTCCTGACTCTTTCTGCAGCCTTGCCACTGCTTCTTCATGGCTCCTTCTTACTGCTGTCTTTCAGCCATATCCCTGATCTTTTAGTAGGAAAGATCTGCACCTAGCCTTCTCGGATATGGGTGAAAAATCTCGGAGGTCTCGAGAGCAAGTTGTGCACATTAAAAAATCCCTAGGTGGTCTAAAATCGAGAAGAGTAGGCTTCGGCCTCCACCAAGGCAAAATTCGGAATTTCCTGGCGTATGACCTGATGCAGTTGCAAGGGCCCTAAAACACTTACCAAAAAGAAAATAAAGAAGAAAAAAAGAACAACCAGTCAGGAATGCAAACCACAACCGCCTGCTCCGTAGTCAAGTACGAGACCAACCGAGCTAGCGCTAAGCACAGTGAGAAAATAAAAGAAAGAAGTGTAGAAAGAAAGAAATGGAGGAGGGGTGAGTGTGTGTGTGTGTGTGTGTGTGTGTGTGTGTGTGTGTGTGTGTGTGTGTGTGTGAGAGAGAGAGAGAGAGAGAGAGAGAGAGAGAGAGAGACCAGGGGGTGCCTTAGTAATAGGTCAATAGGGAAACAAGCGGGAGGAAATGAGACAACATCCTGGTAATCCCCCTTCTGCTGCTCGCTCGTTTCGGTTTTTTGTACGTTTTGTTTTTTGCATTTTGCATGTGCGTATCCCAGTTTTAGTAATTACAACCAGGGGAAATGCGAATAGGCTGTTTGATGAATGCCAAGCTAAGTGGGGAGATGAAGAACAGCTGGGCGGACAGAAAGGGCAACTGGCATTTTGATACAGAGATAGATTAATGAAGAATGTACAGATGGATGGATGGATGAATTGATGGATATATGGGTTAAAGGATTGAGAGAAAAAAATTGTAATGTTGTATATGAGAGAACAAATGTTTGAGTGTATTTGTAATTAGGTGTGCACGTGCGTGTTCGCGTGTGCATCGATATGCGTGTATATGTGTATGTGCTTGTATGTGTGTATATATGTGTATGTGTGTGTGCTTGCATGTTTTATGTGTGTGTATGTGTGAATGTATGCGTGTGTGTGGGGGGGGGGTATATGTCAGCAGAGCATTGTTCGTTTATTATAATAATATTAATCAAGGACAAGTGAAGAAACAAAGTCAAAGAGCTAAATATATTGCGATTGAAAGAAAATAGGATACTACTACATTAAGGACTAAAGAAAGGTACTAGTGATTTGTTAGAGATCTCTCCTGCCTCGTCGATTTTGAACAGGATTAGGAAAGGAAAAGCAGCAGTTCCGTGCTGCAGTTCAGGCACAGTTATGAGCATGCCATTGTTTGATCAGCCCATTTACAATTCTTCTGTGCATTAGAACGATACACGCATTTGAAGACTACAGGGAAAAGACGGCTGTAGTCACAAACTGAAAATCGTGGGGGTACCAATTTTGAACGCTTATTGACTTACAACTGTATTTCTGTTCAACTCTTTGTTGATTATTGTTGTTAGAGTCTTCCATTCATCATCATTTAACAATAAACAACCAATCAAACAAATATAAAGTTATGAGTCCACATGCTTTTAAAATTGGCACCCTCACATTTTCCTATTTGTGACTATAGTCGTTTTCCCTCCGTAGGTTTCATTCATATTGCCCAGCCCGTTCTGAGCATTTCATGCGATGACGAGGTCAGTGTAAAGACAACCGAAATACGATATATCATCCAGTTCTTTGTAGTCAGTATTTTTAAAGCACTTATCAGCACACTTCAGTTCGTTTAGGACGCAGGCTGCTTCAAGCCTTTCTTTTCACACTGGGTGGGAGTCAGTCCAACAGAAAGACGGAAACACCCGATAAAAAATTACACCATGTTAGAATCAAAACTCACTTCTTCCGCTTACAGTGGATAAAAGAGAAAAAAAATAGGAAATACTCTGTGTCCTACTTTTTGGAGTGGTGCTACCATTAATCACGTAATCTCTTATACCTAGCACACATGAATAAAAACAATAGTCATTAATTACCCCTCACCCCCTTACTTTTTCATGTAATGCCTATTTTGGTACTCTTATGTGCACTTCACATTAATCTGAATTGTCCTGTCTGCATTCTCGTGTCAGCGCCCCCTAAACAATCAGATCAATGCTCGCAAATGCAGGAAAGGTCAAATCTGATACAGTCATACTGATATACACTCAGAACATTCGACCTAGATGTGCCACAGCCGTCAGTCTACACTTTTGGTAAAATAGGAGACGACTCTTCACGATAAGGAACTGTCGCTGCAAGCTGTGCACCAATCTGACCCACGTGTCGCGCTTTGGGGGACAACAAGATTGATCACAATTCCAACAGAAAAGACAGGAACAATAAACAGCGAAAGGGATGCAATGGCGTATTTTCTTCTGGGCCTTTCCATTGTAGAATGTAGAAAACCAGTGTTCACCACGGGACAATACATCATCTCTCTCTCTCCCCCACTCTTTCCCCCCCCCCTCTCTCTCTCCCTGTCTCTCTGTCTCTGTTTCTCTGTCTCCCTGTCTCTCTCTGTATCTCTGTCTGTCTGTCTGTCTGTCTGTTTGCCTGTCTGTCTGTCTGTTTGTCTGGCTGTCTCTCTCTCTCTCTCTCTCTCTCTCTCTCTCTCTCTCTCTCTCTCTCTCTCTGCGTTTCTCTGTGTCTCTCTGTGTCTCTCTCTATCTATTTATCTATCTCTCTCTGTCTCTCTCTGTCTCCCTCTTTCCCCTTATTCGCACGTGCGCTTCTTTTTTTGCTTGTAAAAAGAAACAATCGAAATGAAGACTCAACAAAACCAGAAACTGACATAAATTTTAATAATGTACTCCTGCCTCTAGAATCACAAAGCTAAACATTTATCAAGTCATATTACAGTTGCCATTGGGGAATGTGTTCTCACTGAGGCAATGAACATCTCACAAAGAAGGCAAATATGAACCCCCGGGGCGGTGACACTGACTGAAGTGTCTTTAGGCCATTCCCAAAGGGGAGACATTTCCCGTTCTAATGCACAGTATAATTGTTAATGGGCTGATCCAACAATGTCATGCTCAAAACTGTGCCTGAACTACAACAGGGAACTGCTGCTTTTTCTTTCCTAATCCTTACTATCGTCACTTTCCTCTACTTCTTTTGTATGTTTGTCACACTCTTGTGACCCGCTATTTCCTGGGTGCCTTGATAGTCGAAGCAGACTTTGTGCTGTTGAAGATAGAGAGATGATCAGAGTAAGTCTGATTCCCTGTAAGGACTTCTCTGTTGACATCCACCCCTTGGCGCTCATATCACCTTATGCATTTGCGAGCGGCGTAAAACCTCTACAAAAACTAAGCACAAAATATATTGGTCCTTGAAACATCCTTAAATTGGACTCGTCTTCGAAATATACGCAACACGACATAATAATAATAATGTGTCTAGTGGCGTGTATAACTCCTCTGAAATCCGTTCAGTTCAACAGCCTCTATCCCACTACATACCTCTAAGGTCTTACAGCGCTGAAGTGTACCCACCGTCCCTCTCCCCATACCAAACAGCCACACAGACAAACACTTACTTGCAAAAAGTTTTCCGACATGAAAAAGTAAAGAAAGCGCTGCCTTTTCTGCAGTAAGCCGGAACACGTACTTAAAAAGTTAAAATACGTATAATTTTTCTTTGTAAGTAGGAAAAAACTTAGTCCAACCCAACCTTCCCCCCCCCCTCCATTTTTCTTCTTTTTTTTTGTTGCTTCTCTAGTTCTCATATTATAAGCTTATACTAATATATTGGGTATTAACACTCAGATAAACATAAGCACGCGTGCGCGCACGCACACACATATACACACAAACTTCAAAGATAACTGTGGACGAGATGGGCGGGAAGAGAGGAAGAGAGAG